GAAGACTATATACATTTAAAATTTGGAGTATCATAGAGTAAGCATCATTATTCCTGAATAAAATTACAACAAGTTATAGACCCATGGAACTGAGCTAGTTATTCTGCTTAAAAAACAATAAGGAGTTTTTTTTTTGACATGACACTGTAGGAAAAGCACTGGACCACAATATCGATTTGATCTGCAAGGTGGCCATTCAAACTCACCAGTTGCTGCTCCGGAACCCTATACAGGGTTGCTATGAGTTGCAACCAATTGGACGGCATTTAATAATAACAGCAGCAAAAACAAATAACATATATTACATTTTAGTTATTATTATCCTCATGGAGTGCTTAAAAAAGATTATTTCTACAAGAACAACCATAATCAAAGTTAAGGTTGTCTTTTTAAGAGACATTTACCTACAAGGTTTTGAATCTCTGATACATTTTTCTAAGTCTTGGCTGGAAGTCTCCTTTTCTCATCCAGTTTAACTCAAGTTATTTTGACTCAATAAAATGATAAGACACTATTGCTGTATTGGGGGTCTTTCTGTATATGGAAGAAGGCAAGATATTCATACAACTGAAAAATGCTCTAGAATGATACAAATAGAACATTCTGGCAAAGTGAATAAAAATAGCAGAAGTCTTGAGAGGGTGGGTTTCAAAAAGGAGAGTCTCCAAAAGAAGAGTAGAGTGTTTTAGTTCTCTAGTGGTAACAGAAACACCACAACTGGGGGGCTTTAACAAATACAAGTTTATTTTTTCACAGTCTGGAGGCTAGGATCCAGATTAAGAGTGTCAGCTCTGGGGAAAGGTCCTTGTCTCCTTCAGGCATCTGTAGGCCTAACTTTCCTAAGAGATCTCTCTGTGTCCTGGTATCAGGCTTCCCCTGGATCTGGGAGCATCACAGTGTAGTAGGTACTCCAAGTCTAAAGGATGCATTCTACTACTGGCTCTTCTTTCTTGATAGTGGTAGGTTCTCTCTCTGCTTACTTCTCTCTCCTTTTATTATCTCAAAATGAGGTTTACTCAAGACACAATCTAATCCTGTAGATTGCATCTGACCTCACTATCATCAGAGAAGTGGATTTATATCATATAGAATAGTTACATCAGATCAGAGTGGATCATGTCAAGTTGGCACACAGCTTTAAGTATCACAGCGAGTATTAAATTGAGTTTGCAAATGATAGAGAATTTAGCTTGGTGGGAAATTAAGAGCATTTGCAAGGCTGCTGGTTCAAACTCACCAGCCACTCCTCAAAAGCTCTATACAGAGTCACTATAAGTCAAAACAGACTTGAAGGCACTTAACAACAACAACCTGGACATTTCATGGAAAATTTCCTCCAAGACTGAAACTTTTTGACTTTCTGGAAATATTTAAGGAGTTTTTTTAAAATGTATTCCAAGTTTAAGAAATGCAGTATTATCTCAATTAGCAAAGCTTTTTGCGAAAATTGTCACCTTGATAATAGACTACGTGGGGAGAGAAAGGTCATAGGGCTGGGCCTTCTCTAGTCACGCACACGTGAAGGCAAAGGGTAGGAGAACATCCAAATGCTTGTATGAATACTGGCAATTTAGAAGTGGAAAAACTGTCTTGAGAGAGGTGGAAGCAATGTACTACAGTGTAGCATAAAAGGTCATAGCTATATGAAGCAAGAAATCCAAAAAATTGTTCCCAATCTTAATTAGTTCAAATCCATTAACAGTAGAACCATGTATGCAGATGCATGAGACACTATAAACCTTCCAGTAATTTATGGGTACAAATTCCTTCTCAATCTTTTAGCTCTCTTCATGTTGACTATGAGAAGCTCTTGGCCCTGTAGGACAAGCACTGGACGGCTAACCGCTAGCCTACAAGCTGCTCCGTAGAAAAAAGATGAGGCTTTCTGCTCCAGTAAAGATTTACAAACTCAGACTTCCTCTACGCGATCACTATGAGTTGGGACCAACTCAACGGCACATAACAGTGTTGTCTATAATGGTTACTAGGTACTTTTGACACAGATTAGTGACTAAGGAAAACTGCTTGCCACCCTGGTGGCAGTTGGAGAAAGAGAGGTGAGTGCTCAGTGGTGAAACTGGAAAGAGTCAGGGCCCTGGTCTGGAAGACACTGCACACCATATTAAGGAGGCCCTGCCTTATTTTTGGGAGAACCACGGAAGAAGGGTTCTATCAGATCTGCATTGAGGCCCTAGTCATATATAAAATCCTTCCTCAGGGTGATTTTATCCTTTCTGTGAAGTGGTTTAATTCCCAAAACAGGTGTCAACTGGAAAATGAAAGAGCACTCCCTTTGTATGTCCCTGGATAAACGAGTTTCCATCTTTTCTCCTCTGAAAGGGGATCTGAATTGGAGTGCACATTAGGCCAGGGGAGATTTGCCATTTGTAGAGCAATGGGGCCTTTCGCTGGTGGACAAGTAGCAGGCAGGGCAGACACAGCTTCTTGGGCCCAGATGTAAACTTCTTCCCAGTCTGAGCATTACCAATGCCTGCCTTGACCGAGTGTTGTCCTTGCCCTGTTACTCCAGAAGAGTGCTTAGGCGGTGCAAATTTTTAACACACCAAAACGGTGGAGGTTTCTGCCCACACAGAGATTTCTTGGAAGGAGGTCCGGGTGATCTACTTCTGAAAAATCAGTCCTTGTCCCTGAAAACACTATGGAACACAGTTCTACTCTGCCACACATGGGGTTGCCATGAGTTAGATTCAAATCAACAGCAACTCGTTTTGTCCCTTCTCTGTGACACCAACAAATCCGTGGACACTGGAAAAAAAATAAATGTTTGGCAATTTGTTGATGATCGACTGAATGAATGAACCAATTGACAGAGGAAGGCTTCTAGAAGACAAGAGGTCAGGACAAGGACACAGCTGATGACAATCTTGCAAAGGTTAGAAATGTTGAGTCTGGGCTTGGGTGATGGCTGAGCAGCCAGTGAAGAGGCAGCAACTGTTAAGAATTACTTGGATGAAGGTGAGGATGTGATTACATGTGGGAATTGAATGGGAGAAAAGCTCAAGAATGATTTGGTGGCTTCCAATCAGACAACAGGATTTTAAGGAAGTTGTGAAGAAGAGCAGGCATTTGAGAAAAGATAATTAATTTGGTTTCGACCAAGTGAAGCCCTGTTTATTAGGGAAGTTTACCTCCTTCATAGCCTAGATAACCCATTTTTAATGCAAATGTGAATATATTAAATAATTCTTTGAAACATAACTAAATTTGTTTATTGAAATAATAGTGATAAATTGTGAGCAATACAGATTGTTGTTAATGCAATATAGATGCCACACATTTATCCTGCTAGCTAAAGAAGGCTGATGTCCAGATTAAAAAACACAAAAGTAGAAGAATCTAGAACAATACATTTTTATTAATGGAAATGTTCCTGGTGATCAGCAAATCCGATGACCCCATTTAACAGATGAGGAAACTAAGGACTGGAGGAGCTAGCATTCTTCACTCTATACATATTTAGGGCACTATGGGCCAGGCACTTGCTTGGTGCTGGGGATACAAAAGTGAACAGAACATGGTACCCGTATTCACAAAGCTCATGGCCAGCACAGTGAAGGATTGTGTCCAGGAAGTGAGAACTTACCACGTAACGTAATATGTATTATGAGAAGAGCATGCTTAAGGTGCAAGGTGCACTGAATGCAGATTTGGGAGCAACTGTCGGAGAAGGTCAAGTGTTTACTGAGCTGGGAAGGATGAGCAGAAGCTGTCAGGCAAGGAGGCCATGGAACCATGTCCCAGGAAGAGGAGGTCACATGTGATGGCCAAGGTAAGGGAAAGTGTAGTGCATTTAGTTCACCTCAGGAGTCAGAGTGGAAGGGGATTTCAGTCCTGGATTTAGGATAGGTTGCCTCCTGGCTCCAAGTTCTGTGCTCTAGGTCTACTGACAAGTCTTTAATGGCTCAGCACAGATAGAAGTAATACTCTTGCATAGGAAGCAAGCAGCACACAGGGTTCATGCTTACACAGGTGTTTTGTTGTTGTTGTTAAGTGCCGTCGAGTCGGTTCCGACCCATAGCGACCCTGTACAGGGTTTCCGGAGGTGTAGACATAAAGATTTTTCCAAATTCTCTTGAGTAAAATATCTCTTGACAGGGATCGTTACATTGTATTGCAGTTTTTCATTTTCTTCCAAATGCTTAAATCACTTGGAGTATGCCACAAAGCTCTAAGTATGGAAGGGATTTTAAGGGATCATTTTGAAAGGGGCTAAGGGAGAGCAGTGGTGGGTGAGGGTTGGGGGGCTGTGGGAACAGTCCACCATCCGGGTGCAGGGAATAAAGGGGTAGAGAGGGAATCCTATGGTAGTGCAAAGAGTTAATGAGCTTAACTGCTAAATCAAAGGTTGAAGGTTCGAATCCAACCACAGGAACCTCAGCAGAAAGGCCTGGAGATCTACTTCCTGAAAAAAAAAAAAGCAATCATTCTGAAAAACTATGCCCCATGGAACACAGTTCTACTGTCACACAGAGGGTTACCTAGAGTTGGAATCTACTGGATGGCAACCATTATTTTTCTTTGTATTGGTTTATTTTTCTGTCTGGAAAGAAATTTAAAATTAATACAAACTGATGAAAATAATGCTTTTTATTATCCCTGTGTGCCCTCAGTTCTTAGCAATGTTGGTAATAAAATACACCTTCTTATCAAGACAACTGTTCCTATAACTCCTTATCTCTTTGTATGCCACTGCATTTAGTATCTACACACAGAGAAAACAGAACCCTTTGGGCTTCAGAAATGCCAAAAAGATCCATACAAGCCATCTGTTCAGTTCCTATGATCACATATTTGCCAACTCAATTCGTTTCATAAACATAGTTGGGCAGTCAAAATGACACATACAAGAGCCAGACAGAAATGTTGAACTTCTTAAATGATTGTATTTCTTTCCAGTGACGATGCTCCTCAAGTCTCAAACTGGCATCCAGCGGTGTCATTCGTGCATCACCTGGAGCTGTCACTGGTGTGTGTACAAATCACAAGGCACAGTCCTCACTCATCCTCTCTGGCTGGGCTGTCTGGCAGGTACTCGGTGGTATAAACACGGAGGGGTCTTTAATGCCAAGCTGTATGTCGAAGAACCGGGTGGACAATATCACACTGTAGTTTTTGGTGAAGGTTTCCTGCACAGGATAACAATCCTTGGCTGTATAAATGCCGATCCAAGTTTCATCTGTACGAAAAAGCAAAGTTGACTTTTTAATATCAAAGACGGCCTTTTTACAACAGTCTTGGGCAGCAAAGCAGAGAAAAACTTTCCATCTGCATACAACCACAGGAAGGTCTGGCACCTAGATTGATGGTGCAGGTTTGGTCAATTTTAGAAAGTGATGTTTGGAGCAAAAGGTGGCACCTGATTCTAACCTGTGCCTTAAAGAAATGACTTTCACATCAAAGGTGAGACCCAAGGCTAAGGTCATATCAGCCAAAAGGGCAGACAGATAGAGGTGGCACTGTTGTTGTTGTTGTTAAGTGCCGTTGAGTCGGTTCCGACCCATAGCGACCCTGTACAGGGTTTCCGAGGGTGTAAATCTTTACAGGAGTAAAAAGCCTCATCTTTCTCCCGTGGAGTGGCTGGTAGTTTCGAACCGCTGACCTTAAGGTTCGCAGCCCGATTCGTAACCACTACGCTACCAGAGCTCCATAGAGGTGGCACTAGAAGATTGTTATTATTGTTGTTAAGTGCCGTCAAGTCAGTTCTGACCCTGTATAGAATTTCCAACGAGTGGCTCATGAGCTTGAACCCTTAACCTTGTTCAAACCAACTTTGCAGTCCAGCGCATTAACCTACAGGGCCATACCAGAATTCCACTAGAAGATTAAAATGTTCAAAAACTGATGTTGTTGTTATGTGCCGTGGAGTCGGTTCCAACTCATAGTGACCCTGTAAAGGGTTTCCTAGGCTGTAAATCTTTACGGGAGCAGAAAATCTAATCTTTCTCCCATGGAACAGCTTTGAACTGCTGACCCTGAGATTCGCAGCCCGATTTGTAACCACTACGCTACCAGAGCTCCTTAAAAACTGATGTTACTGTAACACAATTAGCAAACAGATGCAGGGACTTAAATATAGTTTGTTGTTGTTGTTCTTGGTTGTCATCAAGTCAACTCAAATCCCTGTTTGAAGAATAGAATTGCTCCATAAGATTGGCAAAGCCATGACCTTTTAGAATTAGGTCCTTCTACATGAGTTTGAACTGCCAATCTTTCCACTAATAAATGCTGAGCACCTAACAATTTGTGCCACCCAAGGACTCAAATGTGATTTAAGAAAGTTAATGAAGTCTAATAATTCCCCTAACTGCCTGAGCTGTATTGCTGTAAGGCTGTAATGCTGGGATACACCTTTTCATTCCCAAAGGAACTTCCTTACATGATCTGGCTGATTTTCGGTCAGACCACTCTTGGACCATTATCTGCTCCTGGGGGCCCCCTATGGAGTACTGATCTTCAAAGGTGGAGTTCTGAGGAATGTCGAGAGGATCCCATGAGTCGGCCAATATGATCTTAGAGCATTGCTTGGTGGCTTGTTCAATCTGAAACATCACCCCATCCTTATAGAGAAGAATATATTCAAATAATCTGAAAGACAGGTGAAAAGAAAATAATTTATAAGTACATTTCAATCATCATGGCTTTTATCAGCATAAAGTCCAAGGACTTTTTGTTTTATTATTATGATTTGGATGAAAGTTTACAGAGCAAACTGGTTTTCAATTCAACAGTTCGTACATATTTTCTTCTGGGACATTGATTGCAATTCCCATGATGTAACAACATTCTTACCACGTCCTCCCTGTGTTTGCCATTTCTCTTCCCCCTTCTTTCCAATCTTCTCCTGCCTACAGAGCTTCATCCCTTGGCAAATGCCTCCCTTGTGATAGCCTACAGTTGTTCAAATGAGAGCACACCTCCCTGGTGTCAACGCTACCCTACCAGGCCTGTCTAGTGTTTAGCTGGAAGTTTAGCCATGGGGCTGGCTTCTGTCCCAGACTTGAAAGGTGCCTAAGGCTATAGTCTCAGGGGTTCCCACAGTGCCTTTCAAACCTGTCATCCTGGCCTTTTTTCTGATTTTGAGTTTTGTTCCACATGTGTCTCCTACAGTGGAAACTGGGCACCATCTAGTTTTTCTGGTCTTTGGGTTGGCCAAAGGCTTTTGATTTAAGTGATTAAAAAAACAGAAATGAAAGAAAAACATTTCACTCTTTAGTCAGTCTTGTACTTACTTATCAACAGAAAGGCACATGAGCAAGTTGAATAGGAGATAAACAAAACTGTCAGGTCAAAAATCTCAGATGCATTCAATATTTACCACGTAGCTATTATATGCTAGATCTAGTGCTTGATGGTGGTGGTTGTGTACTGTGGAGTCGGTTCCGACTCATAGCGACCCTGCACAGGGTTTCCGAGGCTGTAAATCTTTACGGGAACAGAAAGCCTCATCTTTCTCCCATGGAACAGCTGGTAGTTTCAAACTGCTGACCTTGAGGTTCACAGCTTGATTTGTAACCACTACGCTACCAGAGATCTAGTGCTTAGGATACAAAAATTAGGAAGATATTGCCCTAAGCTGTTAGATATTGGTGTTCAGCTGTAGACTTCTCCCCTTCCGTACAACAGGCCCAGGTTTGAACCTGGTCAATGTACCCCACGTGCAATCTACCCCACCATCAGTGAGTGGGGCTCAGGGGCTGCCATGGACGCTGAGCAGGTTTCAGCAGAGCTTCCAGACTAAGATGGACAAAGGAGAAAGGCCTGGGCATCGAATTCTGATAATCAGCCAGTGAAAACCCTGTGGATCACAAACATCTGTTCTCCACAAGTGACCCTAGAAATGCAAAACCAAACAGCATTTTTTTTTGCTTTCATTGTGTATGGTTTTCCATAATTAAGGTACCAGCTTGGTGGCAGCTCACAACAACAACATGGCCCTAGGTTAATAGTTGGTTTGTGACCTTTCGTTTAGTCTCAGGGAAACAGAAAGATTTACCCCTGGTTGAATTCTCATTGCAGTCAAGGAATGATAGCAATACAATGAGTCCAGGATAAACAAGAACCCCATGGAGAACTATACGGGATTAGGCATCAAACAACATAGTCACTATCGTCTTTGCGTCATAACCTGTGCTTTAGAATGAGGTCCTCCTCTAAGGAAGCTGCAACTACCAAGGACAAAAGGTGAAGGGATCCAGAATTAAAATGACTTTCCTCAGCTGCGTTACTCTACAAACTCTCAGTCTCCTCTGGTGACCACATGTGGGCCCGACTTGCAGAGTGAGACTAAAGCTATGGAGGAGCAGAGCCCAAGAGCCCCCAGACCTTCACTCAGCCATTACCAGGCTGTTGTGTTGTTACCAGACCTGAATCCTCACATGGCTCAGCAGTCTCATTGCTATGTGAAGCCTGTTGTGTTTCTCTGAGTTTGATTGTCATTCAAAACCTCAGACCACTGCTGCTGTGAGTAGAGCAGGTGTGGCAGCTGCAGCCCCAAAAGATGTCGTTTGCAACACCTGCAGACAGAAAAGTCTAGAGAGGTGGGGCTTTCATAGGCACCGAAAGAGAAGCACCAAATTATCTGGGGTCTGTGAGATTCACATCCCTCAGAGGAGTCTTCACGGAGATGTGTTCTGCTATCCCAAGCCCAGGCTTAATTTTCTTCAGCACAATGTGTCATAAGTGATAACTGTCTATATGGTCACAATAGTACATGACCTGATTTTATATAATTCGATGCCAAAAACCAATGACTATTGATTTCCTTCCAACTCTTAGTAACCCTCTATGACAGAGCAGAATTGTTCCTTGAGGCTTCCAAGACTAAATCTTGTGACTCAAAAGATTTGAAATGACTTGCAAGGATAAACTCAACTGAGAGTAAATGTGGAAAGAAAAGTAAATGTGCATCTTATGAAGCACTGCTCAGAATTGTAGCCAACCTCTTGTCACATACATGCAGGGATCACATACACAAAACTGTAAGCTCTTTGAAGTCGTTTGGGGTTGGAGTGTCACTGTTTTCTCACGGTGAATTTAGCCAAGTCTTTGGGATATCAAAGTCTAAACATTTGCTGAAGAAATACAAAAACATTAACTTGAACTTTGAGAACGTAAGTCATTCATAAATATCTTCTGAATAGAATCTTTATCTGTGTTATATGGGATCTTTGTCAATGCACAGACCCTGTTCTGTGATACTTTCAATGACAACGGGGTACCCATGTCACAGCTATACTGTGTGTTGTTCAATGCTGTTAAATCTATTTTGACTCACAGTGACCCTGGGTTTCCAAGGAGCGGTTGGTGGGTTTGAACTGCCAACCTTGCAGTTAACAGCCCACTATATAGTATAACTGCAGAGATAACTGTCTTAATCCTTCACCTTGGCATCATCATGTGATGTTCACCCATGTTCTAAACAGGTTTCTAGGCTACACAGTCATTCCTTTCCTTTGTGAAAACTCTGGTTCTGTCCTTCTGAAGCTGTAATGATTGTATCTTGAAAGATATGCAGCCAAGAGTATAAGTCCTCCTGAAACCCACAATGTCACAAAACTGGACCTTGGGAGCCATGCTTATAATAATGACCCTGCCACCCTCACCAGAACTTACTAGTCTAGAGGTGGTCATCTGACCTAGAGCTGGACAATCATGTTCTCTACCTCAGAGATGTGAAATTGGGGTGGAAGCTCTACTAATCAGTCTCTTCATGTGCCGGGACACGTCCTGAAAACTCTCAGTCTTTAGTGGCTAGTTTTCAAGTGAACTGGGCAGAGATAAGAAAGAGCAAGTTGGAATTCCAACAGCATTTCATTTCCTGGATTCATTTATTTTCTCAGGCCTAGTGCCTGGAGACCGCTTCTGTTGCCTAGATATAATAAACGACGAGTTGCCATTGACTCAATTTCCACTCAGGGCGACCCCATGAGTTCCACAACATTTTCAGAGGCTGAATTTTTTGAAAACAGACCCCCAGGCTTTTCTTTGGGCACACTTGTGGGTGGCATATCTGTTTAACTATTTATACTACCCAGAGACTCTGCATGGTCATGATATTGTTGTTGGGAGCTGTTTTATGATTCCAGCTCATAGCGTTCCGATATGCTAGAGTAGGAAGTGCCCCTGAGGCTTTCCTAGGCTGCAAGGCTTTGTGGGAGCAGATCGCAGGTTCTGTCTCCTGAACGGGTTCTAACCACCAACCTCTGGGTGAGCAGTGAACACTTAAACCACTGTGCCACCAAGGCTCCTATAATTATTAAAAATCAAATCAAACACACTGCCATGTGGTCGATTCTAACAAACAGCAGCCTCAAATGGGGGTTTTGAGGCTGCAAATATTTATGGGAGCGGACGACCTTTTATTTCTCCTGAGAAGCAGCTGGTGGGTTTGAACTGTGATTAGCAGACCAGTGCTTATTCTATAGCAACACCAGGTCTCCTACCTATAATTTTATGATTTCTAATAAACCTCCTGCTTTTGCTTCTGATTGTGTTGTACTCTCAACCAGAGTTGTTGCTAATATTTTTGAGGACCTCACTGCTCCACCTGGTGGCCCTGGGAAAGCCTGGCATGGATCACGGACACCTAGTCAGTCACCTGCCATGAAGGGAAAGGGAACAACACGAAAATGGATTCGGCCAACTTCACAGGATTCCTGAGTCAGATGTGCCCATATGCAGAAATGAAATTTAACTTTCAAATGAGGATGCCAGGCCTCAAGCAATCATTCCAAAACGATAACATTTGTTAAATCTGGGTGGTCTGAATGTAGGAGTTTGTTACGGTATGCTCTATACTTTTCTGTGGTTTTGAATACAAGAGGGCCTAACCTTAAGGCCAGCAGTTCGAAACTACCAGCCGCTCTGCGGGAGAAAGATGAGGCGTTCTGCTCCCGTAAAGATTTACAGCCTCGGAAACCCTGTACAGGGTCGCTATGGGTCGGAACCGACTCGACGGCACTTAACAACAACAACGACAATCTGATACTGAGGTTATGTTGACTCTACCTTGAGACTAAAAATGATAATTTAATGAGAAACAAATTACAAGCTATGATTCTACTTTTCAAATATACATGTATTGGATATAAATACCAGTACTGTCCCATGAAAAATCTTGGAAAAGAAAATTTTAAACATTTTGTAGTGGTTTGTATGAACATAGTAATGGTTGAGATGTAACGTTCTCCATCACAAATAGGAATCCTGGTGTGGTGCTGTCGGTTAATGCGCCAGACTGTAAAGCCATTTGAACTGCAAGGTCCGTGGTTCAAGCTTACCAGCTGCTCCTTGGAAACCCTATACAGGGTCACTATGGGTCGGAACCAACTCGACAGCACTTAACAACAACGACAACAATCACAAATAAGACACTGAACCTGGAGTCCTTTAGCAGCCTGATTCGTAACCACTACACTACCAGAGCTCCTCCAATAGGGTCAGAAGGTCAAAAAACAGAGATCAGCCAAGGTTGAAATGAGTCATCAGCCCACGAGACTATTGGGTGATACCCCATAGATCCAAAGAACAGACAAACCTAAACAGAACCTGGACCTCAAGAGGCAGGATCAAAGCTGGACTCTGAA